TACATAGCATCAGTGGCTGGACAGCAGGGGACAACGAAGTTGACGATCAAGAAGACGAATGGAAAGCCAGAAACGATGAAGAAGAAAGAGACTGCTGTGGAAACTCGCGTGGAAACCTCCAACGCATTCTCGGTGCTACCCGACGAATGTGAGTCGACTACTGGGATCGTCACGACGAACGACAACAAGGAAGGTAAGAATATTGTTGTTGTTGGGGATAGCCAGGTTAGATACATGGATAGGGCATTCTGCTTGAAGGACAGGAGTAGGAGACAAAGGGTATGCTTTCCTGGGGCTGGGATGGAGGACATTGTTAGCCGGCTTGACAACATCATGAACGGTAATGGGATCAATCCTATTATTTGCCTCAGTGCTGGAGGCAATTATGTAGGCAAGCGTAGAAGTGAGGATTTAGTTAGAAAGTTCAGGACAGCTATAGACATGATTAGGAAGAAGGGGGGGCGCCCTGTTATATGTGGCATTTTGCCAAGAAGAGGTGTTGGTAATGAATGATTGTCCAGAGCAATTGGTATTAATTGTTGGCTGGATAAACACTGTAAGGATAATGCAGTACCATTCATTGACAACTGGGACAACTTCTATGGCCGAAATGACATGTATGCAGGGATGGGGTTCACTTATCCAGGGCAGGTGTGGGTTTTCTTGCTAACTCAGTTGAGGGGGTTGTTAGGACTTTAAACTAGGATTAGTTAGAGGTATGGGTTTAGAAATGATTAATAATGAGTATGGATATATTGACTTACGCTCTGATATTAAGAATCTTAATAGTAACTGTCATGGAGTAACTCTGGGTAATGATAATTTCAGAAATTGTGTAAAAACAAAGATGAATAGGAAAAATGTGCAGAAGAAAAAACATATGATGGTATTTTATGCTAACAGTCGAAGTGCAAGAAATAAAATTAATGAACTACGTTTGGTAGCATGTGCTGGGAACTTTGATATCATGGCATTAACTGAAACGTGGTATGATTTAAAGAGTCGGGATATGACTGCTGAGTGTAATATTCAGGGATTTAAGTTGTTCAATGTGGATAGATGTAATGGGAAGGGGGGAGGAGATGGAGCAGTAACAGAGTCTGTTTGGGTAGAGTTCGTGGAGGGTCAAGAAAAACTAATTCTAGGTGTAATATACCGACCTCCAGACTTTGGAACAATGCTCTTCTCCAGACTGAGGGACTGACCACCTCAAAACTTTAAGGGTGATGGACTGATTACATCGTCTTCTAGTCTCTTCTGCTTCTATCAACTTTTCTGTACTCGACTGAAGAAGCCTACTGTGTAGGCGAAACGTTTCGAAATAAAGATACCTAACTGTTGCATATGTGTCTTACCTAACAAGGATATATAGAGTTGAAGAACAACCTGAGGACTCCTATTATTTATGCTTCTTGATATGAAGCCAAGGATTCTGTTAGCTTTAATGCGAACACTAATGCACTGTTGTCTTGGTTTTAGATTACTGCTAACCAGAACTCCCAAATCCTTTTCGTAATCAGTAATATTAAGATCTACATTAGTTTATATGTGGCATGGTTATTTTTCTGTCCAACATTTAGAACTTTGCATTTGTCTATATTAAACTGCATCTGCCACTTCTCCGACCACTGCATCAATCTATTCAAATCTTCCTGGAGTGCTCTAATGTCCTCGTCAGAACGAATTCGTCGGCCTATTTTGGTGTCATCGGCAAACTTGCTTATATCGCTATTTATTCCCTCATCTATGTCGTTTATATAAATTGTGAACAACAAGGGGTACAACACGGACCCCTGTGGAACACCACTCGTGACGGGCCCTCACTGTTTTCTCCCCATTTATGCAAACTCTCTGCTGCCTATCTGTCAACCACGCCTAGACCCAGGAAAATATGTCTCCTATTCTATACAGTACTATGTGCCTGAAGTCAGCTATGGTCTGTATACCTTGTACATGTACTGGTAGAAATAAAGACATTATTATTATTACCACTGTAATATATTGATGTCTACTACTGTGTATTGACGACTACTACCACTGTGTATTGATTACTACCACTGTGTATTGACGACTACTACCACTGTGTATTGATTACTACCACTGTGTATTGACGACTACTACCACTGTGTGTTGATGACTATTACCACTGCGTATTTATGACTACTACCACTGCTTATTGATGATTACCACTGTGTATTGATTACTACCACTGTGTATTGATGACTACTACCACTGTGTGTTGATGACTATTACCACTGCGTATTTATGACTACTACCACTGCTTATTGATGATTACCACTGTGTATTGATTACTACCACTGTGTATTGATGACTACTACCACTGTGTGTTGATGACTATTACCACTGTGTATTGATGACTATTACCACTGTGTATTGATGACTATTACCACTGCGTATTGACGACTACCACTGTGTATTGATGACTATTACCACTGTGTATTGATGACTATTACCACTGCGTATTGACGACTACCACTGTGTATTGATGACTATTACCACTGTGTATTGATGACTACCACTGTTTATTGATGATTACCACTGTGTATTGATGGCTATTACCACTGTGTATTGACTACTACCACTGCGTATTGACGACTACCACTGTGTATTGATGACTATTACCACTGTGTATTGATGACTACTACCACTGTGTATTGATGACTACTACCACTGTGTATTGATTACTACCACTGTGTATTGATGACTACTACCACTGTGTATTGATGACTATTACCACTGTGTATTGATGATTACCACTGTGAATTGATGATTACCACTGTGTATTGATTACTACCACTGTGTATTGACTACCACTGTGTACTGACGACTACTACCACTGTGTATTGATAACTATTACCACTGTGTACTGACGACTACTACCACTGTGTACTGATGACTACTACCACTGTGTATTGATTACCACTGTGAATTGATGATTATTACCACTGTGTATTGATGACTACTACCACTGTGAATTGATGATTATTACCACTGTGTATTGATGACTACTTCCACTGTGTATTGATGACTACTACCACTGTGTATTGATGACTACTACCACTGTGTATTGATGATTACCACTGTGAATTGATTATTACCACTGTGTATTGATGACTACTACCACTGTGTATTGATGAATATTACCACTGTGTATTGATGACTACTACCGCTGTGTATTGATGACTATTACCACTGTGTATTTATGACTATTACCACTGTGTATTGATGACTACTACCACTGTGTATTGATGACTACTACCACTGTGTATTGATAACTACTACCACGGTGTATTGATAACTACTACCACTGTGTATTGATGACTATTACCACTGTGTACTGACGACTGCTACCACTGTGTATTGATGATTACTACTGTGAATTGATGATTATTACCACTGTGAATTGATGATGATTACCACTGTGTACTGACTTCTATTATCACTGTGTATTGATGACTATTACCACTGTGTATTGACGACTACTACCACTGTGTATTGACGACTACTACCACTGTGTATTGATGATTATTACCACTGTACTGACGACTACTACCACTGTGTATTGATGACTATTACCACTGTGTATTGATGACTACTACCACTGTGTATTGATGACTACTACCACTGTGTATTGATGACTACTACCACTGTGTATTGATGACTACTATCACTGTGTATTGATGACTACTATCACTGTGTATTGATGACTACTACCACTGTGTATTGATGACTACTATCACTGTGTATTGATGACTATTACCACTGTGTATTGATGACTACTACCACTGTGTATTGATGACTACTACCACTGTGTATTGATGACTACTACCACTGTGTATTGATGACTACTACCACTATTTATTTATTATTATTATTATTATTATTATTATTATTATTATTATTATTAAAGATTCGCCGGTATTCTCCCGGCCCGGGCCTTTTCCAAGTGGTGGCCCGGCCTTGGCTCCCTCTTTAGGGAGTGTCTGAGACCTAAGTCTCCCATGGGAGGAGGCACAAGTACCTCCTCATCTTTGGGACCAACTGTCCCCAGGCCTAGCCACAAGCTAGGCCTCTCTGGTCTGCCATCCCCGCCCCAAGGGGGCAAATGGGAATGACAGTCTTATGAGCTAAAGGCTCGGGCTCAGGCACCTACCCTACGACTACTACCGCTGTGTAATGATATACTGATGACTACCACTGTATAATAAATACGTATATTGATGTCTACCACTGTGTAATATCAGTTATCACTCATGGGGTTATACAGCGCGTGGGAAGCAATCAGGTTTGATCCGAGGAAGGGAACTGCTCCACTTGCCTGGATCAAGAGCCCCTTGCCGGCATCATGGCACCTTTTAAGGGGTATCTAATAAAAAATAAATCGAGTCGCAGAAGAAAAACTCATTCTAGTTGAGTTCATTAATTTATTCTTTATTTAAATCCTACAGAAATGTTCTATATGAAAAATAATTTAAAAAATTTTAATTTATATGTATAATAATAGGTAGTAAAAAAATTTTTACATAGAGAATAATTATCAAAAATTTTTAAATTATCTTTTGGATAAAAATTCAATATTTGCTTTTTATGGCATTTTAATAAGGAGTTTTTATCACAATAACTTCTGAGAACATTTAAAAAAATGGAAGCCGATGTAGGAAGCTTAATATACATACTTATTTACTCAAAGAAGAACTTCGAAAAAACAACCAACTTTACCATTTACTGAGTGATGCTACGCAGATGTTGGGGCTGAGGTGAACCCTGACAGCTTTCACTAAATACAAAGAAATTGACCTTAAAACTGATCTTCTGGCTGCATCAGCTTATTCGTAAGCTTGAAAAATATGCAATGTAACATTACAACCAGAGTTTAAGCTTAAATTCGAGATATATTTGCGTTAGGAGTTAATATAATGTATACATTAGACCCCAGGGGGCACTCAAGGGTACATAACGAAGCACCTATTTACACTTACCTCCTGAGGCTTAGGTATCAGCATCAATTTCCAGAATCCATATTTATACACAAATATACATATGGGTGTATATCACGATATTTGTAATTTTTTTCGGTTGTGCTATGAGTGACACCTGGAAGACTTCTAGACTAGCAGTGGTAACTCAGAACTACCATACCATGACAACACACGTACGGCCGGACATGACTTTTTCAGCACTTAGTGAAGACAGGTGGGAATTAGGAGGTAAAGAGGGAGCGGGAAGAGACGCAACCGTCTCCCATCACAGCATGTGTGTTACTGAGGCAAGCGGTCAATGGACCCTCGTCTAGCACAGACACAGTTGCTACCTCGGATTTTACTTTAGTTACCCATTCGAAGGCCTATTCTCTGCCTTTTTTAACCTTAAAACTGCCTTTTTCTCTCCACTTCCACCTCCACACACCCTTTCGTATGTCTATTATCATTTCTAAACCAAAAATAAACGATCAGTTATAACATGAGAGTAAAAAAAACGATAAAATCCGGCATGCTTAGTGTTGCCATTTTTTCAGATTTTTTCGTCCACAAAACAGGAGTGTAAGATCATCATATCTCACCACATGGCTTAGCAGATTTATAAATTATTTACCCCATTTAATGATGACACTAAAATCCTACCCAAAAATATAATTACCACTATAAAAAAGGCATGGAAAGGCTTCTTTACAGGCCTTTTAAAAAATACCCCCTAAGGGAGCCAAGGGAATCCCGATACGAATGAATTATATTCTTTATATTAGTTGAATTATCTTGGTTTAATAAAGCATATATACTCTGTAGGTATATTTCTTTCAGTATATATATATTCTTAAAGCTTTAATTCTATCTTAGATATTAAAGTGTTCTTGACTGGCTCTGATATTACGTTTAAATTTATTTAGGCAAAAGTATAAATATAATAATAATAATAATAATAATAATAATAATAATAATAATAATAATAATAATAATAATAATAATAATAATAATAATAATAATTATAATAATAATAATAATAATAATAATAATTTTATTTACTACAAGTACATGTACAAGGTATACAGACCATAACTGACATCAATGACATACTACTATATAGAAAACCCCTTGTTATGCTGATTATTATTATTATTATTATTATTATAATAATCAAGGGGAAGCGCTAAACCCGGAGGATTATACAGTGCCTGGGGGGGGATGTGGAAGGCATTCAGGCTTAATTCGGGGAACTGGAGCACAGATCCAATTCCCTAAATCAAGAGCCTCTCACCAACATCAAGGAACCTTCCTTGAGGGGTTGTTATGCTGAGCATTTCCAGCAAATTAGGTCAATTTTGTCCCAGGATGCGACCCACACCAGTCCACTAACATCCGGGTACCTACGTACTGCTAGGTGAGCAGTTATCATACAACAGTGTATATCACTAAGTGTCCCTTAGTTCGATCACTAGCGCACTCATCTCACACTCTGAGGTCTGGGGATCGATCCCCGGTACGGCTGGAAAAACATTAGGACGTGTTTCCATAAAATACCAGCTGTCCATGTTCACCCATCAGTAAAATGGGTACCTGTGTGTTAGTGGACTGGTGTGGGTCGCATCCTGGGACAAACCTGACCTAATTTGCGGGAAATGCTCAACATAACAAGGGACTTTTTATATAGTAGTATGTCACTGATGTCAGCTATGGTCTGTATACCTTGTACATGTACTTGTACATGTACTTGAAGTAAATAAAGATATTATTATTAGATAACCCCAAAAAGTCAGACAAAGTGACTTATTTCCACTGTGGTCCTTTTTATTTCCTTGTTATGGTTCTCGTTCAGTCGATATTCTTTAAGCCCCATTAATCAGTATTCTTGTCTGGTGGTGACAGAGGTCAGGTGCAGCCTTGACCCTAGTGTAATAGATAGGCTTCAAACCCCATTCACCAGCGAAGCAATCATCACTCTGTTGTTTGTACTGTTTTCAGTATTTAAATTACCTATGAGACTGACCATTTTCCAGGTTTGTTTATAATTTTTAAAAAGTAGTGGAGGGGTAAGCCAGTGGAAGGGCTCGGTCACATGACTAAAAGTTCCAGCTGCGGGTCATCATATGACTGAAACCAGCGTCAAGAAACACTTGTCCTATTTCCTGACAAACCTTACCTAACCTAACCTAACATAACCTAACATAAAATAACATAATATAACATAACATAACATAACATAACATAACCTAGCATCATAACACAAGGTAACAGTAGTAGCTGGTACCACCATCACAACACAAGGTAACAGTAGTAGCTGGTACTACCATCACAACACATAGTAACAGTGGCACCTAGTACCACCATCACAACACAAGGTAACAGTAGTAGCTGGTACCACCATCACAACACATAGTAACAGTGGCACCTAGTACCACCATCACAACACAAGGTAACAGTAGTAGCTGGTACCACCATCACAACACAAGGTAACAGTAGTAGCTGGTACCACCATCACAACACATAGTAACAGTGGCACCTAGTACCACCATCACAACACAAGGTAACAGTAGTAGCTGGTACCACCATCACAACACAAGGTAACAGTGGTAGCTGGTACCACCATCACAACACATGGTAACAGTGGTAGCTGGTACCACCATCACAACACAAGGTAACAGTAGTAGCTGGTACCACCATCACAACACAAGGTAACAGTAGTAGCTGGTACCACCATCACAACACATGGTAACAGTGGTAGCTGGTACCACCATCACAACACATGGTAACAGTAGTAGCTGGTACCACCATCACAACACAAGGTAACAGTAGTAGCTGGTACCACCATCACAACACAAGGTAACAGTGGTAGCTGGTACCACCATCACGACACAAGGTAACAGTGGTAGCTGGTGCCATCACAACACAAGGTAACAGTGGTACCTAGTACCACCATCACAACACATAGTAACAGTGGTAGCTGGTACCACCATCACAACACATGGTAACAGTGGTAGCTGGTACCACCATCACAACACAAGGTAACAGTGATAGCTGGTACCACCATCACAACACAAGGTAACAGTAGTAGCTGGTACCACCATAACAACACAAGGTAACAGTGGTACCTAGTACCACCATCACAACACATAGTAACAGTGGCACCTAGTACCACCCTCACAACACAAGGTAACAGTAGTAGCTGGTACCACCATCACAACACAAGGTAACAGTGGTACCTAGTACCACCATCACAACACATAGTAACAGTGGTAGCTGGTACCACCATCACAACACATGGTACTAGTGGTAGCTGGTACCACCATCACAACACAAGGTAACAGTGGTAGCTGGTACCACCATCACAACACATGGTACTAGTGGTAGCTAGTACCACCATCACAACACTAGGTAACAGTGGTAGCTGGTACCACCATCACAACACATGGTACTAGTGGTAGCTAGTACCACCATCACAACACTAGGTAACAGTGGTAACTGGTACCACCATCACAACACATGTAACTAGTGGTAGCTAGTACCACCATCACAACACATGGTACTAGTGGTAACTGGTACCACCATCACAACACTAGGTAACAGTGGTAGCTGGTACCACCATCACAACACATGGTACTAGTGGTAACTGGTACCACCATCACAACACAAGGTAACAGTGGTAGCTGGTACCACCATCACAACACATGGTAACAGTGGTAGCTGGTACCACCATCACAACACAAGGTAACAGTGGTAGCTGGCACCACCATCACAACACAAGGTAACAGTGGTAGCTGGTACCACCATCACAACACAAGGTAACAGTGGTAGCTAGTACCACCATCACAACACATGGTAACAGTGGTAGCTAGTACCACCATCACAACACATGGTACTAGTGGTAACTGGTACCACCATCACAACACAAGGTAACAGTGGTAGCTGGTACCACCATCACAACACATGGTACTAGTGGTAACTGGTACCACCATCACAACACATGGTACTAGTGGTAATTGGTACCACCATCACAACACAAGGTAACAGTGGTAGCTGGTACCACCATCACAACACATGGTACTAGTGGTAGCTGGTACCACCGTCACAACACATGGTACTAGTGGTAACTGGTACCACCATCACAACACAACGTTTCGCTCTCTTAACGCTTAAGAAACACATCTCAGGAAACATTTCGACACCAGACGAAGCACTATGCAAACAATTTACATTATTTAAATCAATATTCACCGTGTGTATATACTGTATATGTATATATATATATATATATATATATATATATATATATATATATATATATATATATATATATATAATATATATATATATATATATATATATATATTCCTGGCTTTTTTTTTACTCTGTTGAATTTACAAGTTAACAACTGTTATCTTGCCTCAGATCATTTACAAGTTAACAACTGTTATCTTACCTCAGATCATTTACAAGTTAACAACTGTTATCTTACCTCAGATCATTTACAAGTTAACAACTGTTATCTTGCCTCAGATCATTTACAAGTTAACAACTGTTATCTTGCCTCAGATCATTTACAAGTTAACAACTGTTATCTTACCTCAGATCATTTACAAGTTAACAACTGTTATCTTGCCTCAGATCATTTACAAGTTAACAACTGTTATCTTACCTCAGATCATTTACAAGCTAACAACTGTTATCTTACCTCAGATCATTTACAAGTTAACAACTGTTATCTTGCCTCAGATCATTTACAAGTTAACAACTGTTATCTTACCTCAGATCATTTACAAGTTAACAACTGTTATCTTACCTCAGATCATTTACAAGCTAACAACTGTTATCTTACCTCAGATCATTTACAAGTTAACAACTGTTATCTTGCCTCAGATCATTTACAAGTTAACAACTGTTATCTTACCTCAGATCATTTACAAGTTAACAACTGTTATCTTGCCTCAGATCATTTACAAGTTAACAACTGTTATCTTACCTCAGATCATTTACAAGTTAACAACTGTTATCTTGCCTCAGATCATTTACAAGTTAACGACTGTTATCTTACCTCAGATCATTTACAAGTTAACAACTGTTATCTTACCTCATCATTTACAAGCTAACAACTGTTATCTTACCTCAGATCATTTACAAGCTAACAACTGTTATCTTGCCTCAGATCATTTACAAGTTAACAACTGTTATCTTGCCTCAGATCATTTACAAGTTAACAACTGTTATCTTGCCTCAGATCATTTACAAGTTGACAACTGTTATCTTGCCTCAGATCATTTACAAGTTAACAACTGTT